GAAAGCAGTCAAGGGTCCCTAGGTTAAAAAAAAAAAAAAAAAAAAGCAACACTCAAGCAACTGCATGAGGTCAATGTATTTATGTGAGCAGTGAATACAATTTCTGCCTCAATTCCAGAATTCCCTAAAATATGGCATAATTATAGTTTATACAGAAAGGGCAGAGTGAAACAGGAAAGGGAGCTTTCTTATACCCCTACTAAAGGGAAATGACAAGGACTAAAATTTGAAAGGGTTAGTAACCACCTTACAACTAAAGCAAAGAAAAGGGATCACGTTTCCCCTTTCTTTAGTTCTTGTTGTACTGCAGATCGTAACTATGGCCCTTTGGGCTGGGCTGGATCCCCTGCAGCAGGACTGACTGGGCACTGCAGTTACACGAGGCAACAGAGTATTTCCTACTCCCCAGGGTCCCTTAGACCTTTCAGCTGCTGGAGGAAGCTAGGAGCACGATCCAAGTCAGTGAGATGAAGGCAGAAACAGTAACTCCAGCGAGACAAGCTCTGTGGGCAGAGGTGATATGTTTTCATTGGACCAACTGATACAGTTGAAAAAAAGCAGACCAGCTTTCGGGAACACAAACCCTCCTTCACTAAGCCCAGCATCACTGGGTGAAGGGGAGGCAGAACAATAGCTCCCTTCTCTCAGGAAGGTTAACCATCGCTGTGGGACGAATCTGGCAAAGATTTTATACTGTCTGAATCCAGCTATTTATTTTTTTGCATGGCATTTATATTTTCAATTTTTATATTATTAAAAGCCAGTTTAAACTAAATTTGTCAGCTACTGCAGCGTAGCAAGCATTCGTACAATTCAGCTCTTGCATTCTTTGCAATACCTGCCTGGAGATAAACCCACACCACTCCCTGCTGCTTAGCACAGGTCTTTTTTGGTAAGATGTCTCTGTGTCTTAGAATAGGATTTCTCATTACCTAAAATTATATCAGCTCCTGCTGATAGTTTTTCACATCATGTTCTTAACCTTCTGTGGCTGACATCCCAATCATCTTTGCAGCAACTGAGCTGTCAAATGGAAGGCTGAGACTGTGATCAGAGAGAGTGCACCAGCAGGAAGAGAGTGAATTTGTATGGAGCAGAAAGCTGGTGCTTTTGTGCATCTACCCAATTATAACAGTAGAGAAAGAAACAGAAAAGGCTGCATCTTCACAGTTAGAAAAGTGAAGTTCCTGTGCAAAATAAAACATATCTTCACTATATATCCAGTCTTCTTTCATTTATTCAACATTCCTTTCTCTTCTGTTTTCTCATTAAAGAGCAAAGTTGGGTTCTGAATAGCTAACATAAAATTTTAAGAGGAAAAAACCCTTAACACAAGCAAACACTTGCAAGTCAGCAATCCAAACTCTGCTTCTTTTAAAACCCAGGTAGGACACCAACTATGTAACTGGGAGCAAAACAGACATCTTGGGAGAAAAATCTTATTATGAAAGGTGATCTGAGGGACACCAAGGCCTGCGCTCTGAATTCCTTTAAAGTGCAAGCCTCATGTTTGTTGTTAAAAGCAAGAAGATAAAAAGCTCTGTCACCTGTCAGTGAGCCTTCTTTTTCCTTTCCTAAGCACTTAGGGAGCACCTTCTTTTTTCCTTTTTCTAAATCACTGCTAAACACACTAACAGCATGCCAGTGTTCGTAGCCCAGTATTGCTGCAGTGTATGCTGAAGCAGCCCAACGGTATAAATATATACGGCCAGTTACGAGCTCCATCATTACCTTTTGATAGATGTTGCAGAAGATGTGACAAACTAGACATGGGTTAGACGTTAGCTGTACACCGAAATGTCATAACCCTCCCTTCTGAAGCTCTTTTATATAAGACATTATAAAAAAGAGATTTTTACCTCATTGAATTTAATAAAAGCTACGGGTAGCCCAAACAAGGCTTTAATGTTGCTTTAGCCACGGGCCATCACTGTGCATTCGTTTCATGGGATGAGACAGAGAGGATACTTCCTGCTTAATTGCAGCTCTGTCTTGAAGGAAGTATCCTCCTGCAAGACAAACCTCCTTTTCATACGTGTAGCAGCAGCAGCAAACCACTCTCCTCCAGCCTCAAGTCTGAGAGAGTAGCTGTTCACCCATCAACAGGAAAACTCCTCTGGCACAGCGCCCCCTGAGCCTGCCACAACTTGGCAAGTCGTACAAAACCAGATGCCAAATCTGTCAAACAAGTGCCGAGCTATGAAAGTTAAAGGTAACATCAAGTTTTGAACTGAGTATCTCTTAGGTGAAAGCATACCTCCTATTCCTTTGGGGAAACTGAAAAAACCTCATCCACGTTGTTCTAGAGTGTTTTCAGCGACAAGGCTAGCACAGATAACTTACCGCCAGTCACTCATTTTAATCAGAATCATCTGGATCTGCTTTTGGTTTTAAATGCCACCCTGGTATCTACGCTAGTGTTTCCACTGGAACTACACCAACAGTAGGTAGCTTTTTAAAGTAAGGACTGCGAATATAAGCACTCAATGGCAGAAAAGGACCAGGGTCCATCTTGTTACCATGGTTTAGTCATACTCAGAATATGAGGTAAAATGAAAAGCAAGTAGTAAACACCAGGGTCTGTACAACATGGCTCCAATTGCGATGGCACATATAGGGCGATGACTACATGTTGTTAACGATGCCAAGTCTCTGATTTCACTTTCAGGAAAGCCAAAACTGATTGAAATACACATAATTAGCAGGAAAACATATTAGTTCCCTGATTTGTGTCATGAGTTCAGCCCCAAAACATGCAAACTCCTTGAAATATTGATACAGACAGAAATCCAAGTGGCACCATTTTGTCTCATACACACCTAAACTCCCAAAGGGTATGCAATGCAAGCAGACGATGAAAAAAGCCAAGAACAACTGTTCTCCTCTGCAATAAGCAGATACTAGTCAAGATTAAAAATTTATTCCCACCCTACACATGGTATCCAAAGAAACAATACATACAAAGATCTATTTATCCCACAATGACACAAGCCTCCTGGATTTAATATTTCAGACCATATGACAAAGTTCAAGATACATTACTTGTCAGATACAAATCTCAAAGGAGAGCTCTTGAATATACGAAAAAAAAAAAATCACGTTACTTAAGGGACCTCCACGACTTACACATTCCAGCAACAGACTGTATTTATAATGTATTGTTTTAATGATACCTTTAATTTTCTCTTGCAGATCTGCTCCTCTCCTTAAGGAGTCTTTTGTATTTTCAGACATGGTTGTTTCGTTCATTCTACCACTTTACATATATTTACATCAGTCTCATCCCAAATATTGTTGTCATTCAGGCTTCTAATTCCGTTGTTGTTTTCTAACTGTAAGAGTCTTTGCAGTCCATCTTCCTTTTAGAAGAACTTGTGCACAGCACAAATTAATGCAAATGGCTTTCTCAGTGTGTGTCCTGAAGGATATGCATCAGAGATTGACTGTCTGAACACATCTTTCAGTAGTCCAGGCTGTACTTTTAAACTAATCATATAGATTTATAAAAACATATACAAAAAATTATCCTTGGATCAGTATAATGTCTAAGACACAGCTGGTAAAGATGTAAAATTATTCAGGTATTTCTAACTCTGAAATGACATAGAGTATTACGGTGTAAACTTAGGTTACACAGAGAAATAACTGTTTCTTAAATCAAGAATGCTGTAACAGAATAAATAATTTACAAGCTTGAGAAGAGCTGCATTGTTTCCTACACAAAGACTTGTTACCTATATTGTAAAAAGCTTAAAGGAACTAAATATCATTTCTGTCGGTGGTTGTAAAACTTAAATATCTGGTTTTGTCCATGTAATTCCCCTCTTAAAATCTGATAGAGGTAGATGCAGATAAAATGAACCCCGAAATGTAAGAATTAAGATACTGCAGTTAAATTCTAACCCTGCAAATCTAGCAAACATATGTTCTCACCAGATTTACTGAAAGCGGTTATTTTTTCTTTCTTTTTTTAAATAGAACAGCACTCAACTTCTTCCTTCCACGTTGTCAAAATCAGTGCTCAATACGGTCATAAAATAGTTTTCAAAGTATTCCTGAATTAGAGCAGAAGCAGGTCCCACCTTGCACTCTTCAGTCACTCCAATACGTTTCCAGGGACTGTCTGTTGAGGAAACGCTGCCTACCCAGCACGGCCCAGACAGCGCCTGGGCCTCCCCCCGAAACAAGGACAACCGACAGATCTGCAGATCCCACCGAAGGTAACTCTTGGGGACAGGCGAGGGAGCGAGGGAGGGGGGGCTGCCGGCAGGGGAGAGAACCGGGCAACCTTCACGGCCACTGCAGACGGTGACCCTTCCGAAGGTTTCTCCAAAAATGTATTTAGCGTGGGTGTCTGTGTGCAAGGGCTGCAAAATATTTGGTTATTGCCACAAAATCAGAGATTTTATTAGGCTCGTGAGTATTTACCAGATCTCGTGTAAAGCCTTGGTTCTGACATAGAGAAAATGATAAAGCAGTACCATAATTTTTTAAAACATGAATGACTTCACTAATGTCCTGATGGACCAAAAGAAAAATACAAGTGTTTCGATCCGATTTCCCACTGTTCTATAGCTTGCCCTGTGACTTCATGTTTTCCAATGTCTCCTCTAGTCCCTCCCCACCTGTAATTCTACCTACTTTCTTCAGCCAAGACCTATGAATGTGCTGAAGACAAAACATAGATAAGCAAGCATATGAGAACTAGGAATGAGCTTGGCAGCCCTTTTTAAAACTACTGAAAAAAGTATGTTTCCTCTTCGTGATTCACCAGATAAAAAGGAGGAAGCATCACTACAGACCAGAACATCTGCATAAAAGTGCCTCCAAGTTTCTTCGCAACAGCAATACTGGCAAGATCACAAAGACTGGATTCCTTTCCTTTCTGCCTCTCTCTGCATTATGACCGTAGCCATCACGATCTCATTTGCTATGCAGAAACATAATTACTTCAGTACAATTTCCACAGCAATTTGAAGTGTGCTTTTTTTCTCTTTTTAGTTACCATCTAAATTTAATGAAAACGACAGGACGGACTGAGATGGCAAAACCCCAGCATTTTACATAATTCAGTTAATTCGGTTTAGTTACAGAATGATGATCCTGGCGGTTAAACTAAAACCATAGATCTAAACGAACGAGGCAATTTTGTGCATTCTAGAATCAATGCATACTTAAATACTTGTTTTCCTTCACAATATTATTAATCTCCAGAAACCACTGCTTTATGGACGCTGAACCAATTTGCTCTTATTGCTTTCCTGCTCGCTAAGTTTGAAGTGGGTGTAAGCCAAGATGCCAAACAACGTGCACAGAATCCCAAGGCCTTGATTAACAGACAGTGGATCCTTAAATAAGAGGCACCCTCCCAGGAGGGTGATGCAGAACTTGAAATGTCCAAACATGTTATACCTGGACACCTGTTAAGGATAACAGCAAATATCAGTATTATTTTTTGTAAAAATAACCACTTGGGAACTTCATTAATTACACCCAAAGCATGCAATGGTACGTCACGTTGACTTCAACTCGTGCAACTTTCTCGCATCCCCGTGGCTACAAGAATTAACCTCCACCTAAAGCCTTGCACCTATCGTACGCTACAGACTGACACACCCACACTTCCTCAAGGTAGCCAACGTAAATACTCTTTGTAGGTATGACGGTCACGTCAGTAAGTTAATGCCATTATCTATATAACCCTGAACAAAGAACCAAAATACTGTAAAACATGACCATTTTCCATTTAAGAGAAAGCAGGCAGGTTAGCAAACAATTTCCCCCACGGTCAATGAGCCCAAATGCATGCTAACGTAATTAATCTGGGAACAGGAGAAACAACTAATGTTACAAAGGATACGTGACTGGTGACGTATTTCCGATGATCCAGTAAATGGACAAGTTTACCATAAAGGCTATTATTCCAGAGAGCAGTACCATTATCTGTGGGTTAATGGACACAATCAGTAATCTGACACGTTTTTGGCCATTTGTAGATACGTTCCAGGTTATTATTTAGTTTCCTTTACTTTCAAACACAAAATATCGGGCAAGAAAAACATAGGGAGAACAAAAATAGAAACAGTACAAAGCAGTAGAGGCACTGGCGCTATGTGTAAGTAGCTCAGGGTATGATGTCCATAAGCATATACTGACATAACCACAAGCCTTTTCTCCTCCACTCTCAAGTAAACATTTAAGAGTGATTTGGAACATCTGGCTACTCATACACACAGAGGTTGCATTCTGTACCTTTGAGACAAAGTCTTATTTACGGTCACAACAAAACAATCCAGGTTTATTACTGTGAGTACTTGCTATCCCATTCATAAACTGCAGTGCTACGAGAAATGACCCACCACTGAGCGGCACGATCAGCAGTGGTAAGAATATGCCCCTGGCTCTCTTTTAGATAGAAGGATAAAGGGAGAAATTATAGCCTTCTTAGTGAAAATAAACTGGCAATTCTAGAGAACAACCCATGCTGGCATCCTTCCACAGAAGAGGAGTTGAGAGTGTCAAAAGCAAGCATGCTTATCTCTTTTCTGAGTGGACAGAAAGGGCTGGAACTAGGGCACTTACATATTTTTAATTTAATACACTAGGGGAAGCTTCTGGATTTTGTCAGATTTTCCTGTTGTTCAGATGCCCTCTAAACAGAAACAAGAATAGGGAGGTAAATCAATTGACAGACAGACTCCTCTAGGAGGAAGCGGGGCAGACACAGCAAGGGGTTTTTTTCTCTTGCACATGCCCCTCTCATCTCATCATAGTTAATGACTGTACAAAAATCTGTTTCTCAAAGAAACAGATCTTACTATCAAATTTAACTACGTCAATGATGATTATTTATTTAAATAAGATCAATAAAAGCCTTACCACAGCAGAAAGCGTCCAGGGCCCAAATATTCCCCCTTCTCCAAAGACTGGCTCAAAGAAGGGTATGATGAACAACAACATAGCTGAGGACATTGGTGCCTGATAGTACAGCAACTGCATAGAGTTTACCTGCAACTCATGCTGCTTAGCTCCTACCCACTAAAACCAAAAGAGAAAGCTGTTAAATGTGATGGAAAAAGCCCCATAAATTGCAAACTTGAGCAAAAGCAAACTGGCTACTAACACAAGGAGTCTCATGTGGACAACACGACATAAGCAGATTGTTGAGCATCATCTTCTACCTTTGCCTAACTGGAGGCCCATGTGTTTGTCTCTTGTGAACACAAAAGCCATGTGAAGAGAAAATCATATGCAGTGCCTGAGTGCCTAAACCTTCCTTTTCCCATAGCCTGCAGGTAAAGTATTATAGTTGAGAAAGAACAAAAAAGTAGCAGAGCTGGAAAGAAAATGCCAGCTCCCTTTTATTCTCAAGACAGATTCCAGATCCTGTCTATGATGGAGCTGAGCACCTTTGCCTAAGCAGAATTTGGTTTTGCTCCTTTCTTCTCCTTTTCCTCTACACACAAGCTAACAAAACCAATAAACGTTTGGCTTTCTTTCACCAGTTTACTCCAATTTTACTGGATTTAATTTCAATATTGACTATAACTTAGATTTTTCAATGTAGCTTGCTTTAAGAGAACATTAGTCATCTATGGTTATAACGATAGATGCTACAGCCAAAAAGATCACAGGATCACAGAATGTTAGGGGTTGGAAGGGACATCAGAAGATCATCTTGTCCAAAAGATGCACCTTTATATCATACTGAAGAATGATGTTTACTTTAATACTTCAAAAATCACATTAATTGGTAACATGGATTCCAGCATATAAACTTGATAAGTCTTTTTTTTAAAAATTACAGAATAATTTCACTCAGGTACTATCATTTCTCCAGTACACACACCATCACTTCAAGTTATTATGCAGCATCTCTCTCCACCTCCTGCCCCAAAACAGGACAGGAGACCATTATTTATCACCCTGCACACCACAGGTCAAAGAGCCTCACTTCTTGTGGAGGCACGGTACATCTGTTACAAAGAAATTTACATTTAAATTGATGATGACTATCACGTCCACATGACAGGGGGCTCTAATTTAGGAGGCTTTTACGGTCACAAATGATAATGAACTGGTTGTGAGCTGTTAGTACAACGTTACAGCATGAAAGGGCTAAAGCAGTCCTTGGACATACCTAATTTTTCAATCATCATCAGCCACGAAGGTTATATTGTGCATATATATTAATGCACCATCTACAAAAACACCTTAGACTGTGTACAGTAGAAATTGAAGGAGGATGCTGATAAAATGTAAATAGCTCAAGGATAAACCATGGGATTAACTGAAAGGCTGGAAAATGTCCTTTCTAGGGAAAGGCTTAAAGGCAAGGTACTTGCTTCAGCAAGGAGGAAATCTGTGCTCTCCAGAAAAGTGGAGTCTTACTGATAAAGCCATCTTCACCCCTTGAAACTACGCTCATGACCATGTTAAAGATGACACCCCCATTTTTAGCACCAAGAACAATCAGTTAAACAATTCCACCAGTGGCTGTGGTGGATGATGACTATTTGGGGTGGGTTTTTTGGTTTTTTTTTTTAACTAAATAACGGAGTACAGAGGGTTTCCTGGAAGGCAGGGTGTTATTTAAAGGTGATCTAACCAAAGGGCAGCAGCTCGAAGACCAACCACCACCAACATTCCCGCCCTCTCCCCACCCCCGCCATTAACCCACCACTTGGTAGAGGGAGGTCACCAGGACGCCCAAAGTGGCGAACGCCATCCCGAGGACGCTGAACTTCACGTCGTAGTAGGAGTTGAGGAAGACGCCCAACGTGATGGGGACCTGTGGAGGTGGAGGGAGATTTGGGGGGGTGGG